CTTTCTCTATCTGGTCTCTTGATATTTTTCCACAGAGGGACTTCTTTTATGCAGTTGGGCAAAGGTGAAGAGGGTCATAGACATCGACAGAGCCAGACTTACACACAAGACCCCCTTGCCCATGGCCAGCACAGGGGCACTAGAGAGCTTGGATTTCTCAAGGTCGGCCTATAAAATCCCAGGGCAGGGCTCTGATTGGTCCAGCCTGGATCATGTGCTTGTGCCAGGAAGATGGCATGCTGTGATTGGCCAGTCCTGGGTTACTATCTTTCTTTAAGGGAGGAAGGGGGAAGTATATAACTGACAGCCCAACCAGAACCACATGGAGGAAAGGGCAGATCCATAAATATAGGAGGAAGTCATTTACCAGAATTGAGGAGGAGCACTGGGCAGAAATAAAGGACAGATGTCTACCACTCAGAAGAAGGTATTCTCCCTTGGAGAAATGAAAATCCAGAAGGCAAATCTTTTTATGAAACTAGCCCCAGGTAGGTGTGGGCTTCATTTAAAGACAGGAAACTTTAGGGGCTTCCACATTTGCAAGGGCCTTACCTGCCTTCTCAGAAGAATTAGAAAAAGGAAACTTAAAAATTAGAAAAAGAAACTTATTTTCATGACTACAACATGACTTTGGTTCCAGTTTCTGTACCTGTTAAGAAAGGGAGAATGTTCTGGAGCAAATGGCTCAGTCTTGGTGCCAATTTCTAATTCTGTGCATCTGGCAATCCAAAGGCTGGCTGGGTAGCTTGACAGGAGCACTGAAGAAGAAAGATTCATGGACAAAACTTTTCAAGTATTTAATAATTTTAAGCCCAAGGCCACAAAGCAATGGCATGCTTTCTTTGACTAGCACAGAGTTTAGGAAAAAAGAAAACCAAATGCTTGCCAACATTTTAAGAATTGGGATATTTCACGTGAAAGCATGGATTTCTGGCTTCTCTAGGAAAACCATAAGATCTGGCCCTGCTGGCTCCAGAGTTGCACGCGGTCACATCTGGCTGAAGCTGAGGAGCAGTGACCCCTTTAGACAGGATGGAAAAGTCTAGTTTGCCACAGTGTCCCCCACTGCCTATCGCCCTACCCGCCTGGCCCACTTCATTCATTCATTCCTATTACCTGTGTGGCCTCTGTAAACACTTGCTTTCGCAATTCTTGTGTTTTACAACAACAAATTCCCTGAGCAAAATCTCTGAAGAACTAGGTCTGTCTTGTTGTAGCTTTGTGACCTTAGGCAAGTTACTTTCTCGCTCTAAACCTCAGTTTTTTGATCTGCAAGTTGGGCATGAAATACTCACTTCATTTATCAATCTTTACTGAGCATCTGTTTTTCCAAGTGCTGTGTTTATAGCAGTGAACAAGGAGACATGGTGGGGGCAGAAGAGGGCAGGTGTTAGTGAGGCAGGAAAGTGAGAAGCATACGCTGGGGAGGTACAAAATGACATCCTGTATTGGACACTTAGTCCAGGGGTCAGCAAACTATGCGCCCGTGCAACAAACCTACCTGGCAGCTGCTTTTTGTAAATACAGTGTTATTGGTACATGGCCACCGGCGTTCACTTACACATTATGTGTAGCGCCGCAGCTGTCTGTGTGTGGTGGCAGAGTTTGGTGTTTGCAGCAGAGCCCAGAGGACCCTCAAAGCCTAAAATATTTACTATCTGCCCCTTTGCAGAAAAAGTTTGCCAGCTCTTGCCTCAGCCCAAAGCCTGAATAAATAGAAAGAACTCAATAAATTGCAATTTATTATTAGTGATGCTCCCCCTCCCCACTCTGTCTTGCTGATCTTTCATATATTACTACGCCTCCCCTCCCCAGCAACTTTTTTATCTGCTTGCTTAACAGCTGTACTCATTGTTTAGGTAAATATGCAGATCAAATATTGGCTACTTCTTCGTACATATTTCACAGAAAGTTTAATGTGGCCCTAATCAGGGGCAGGGTTGGGGTTCACCCACTGTCCCTTTCGGTGTGTCGGATCAGGTTAATCAGATCAAATTAAACACAGGATTAGGCAGGCCACAGCTTGAAGCCCCATACAGAAAAGGTTGGATCAGTGTTGACTTACATTTTTCAATGGGGTGTGTGGCAGGCTTGCTGAGGTTTTACGGTCTCATCAATGGTTCTGCCTTGTGCCAGCTCCCACAGCCCGGCTACGTGCCAGAGACTTCTGCTCTTAACCCCCCGGGAAGATTCGTTTTCACCCCAACATCATCGGCACAGACCTCTGACCTGGGTGGGGTCACAGGGAGAAAGCAGGTGTTACCCAAGAACATGGAGCAACAGCGAAGAGTCTTGTGGGTAACCACGAAGGTCAGCAGAGTCCTTGGGTGGGGCCAGCTTCATGGGCGTGTGGCCTGGGTGCTCACACAGGGCCCTGTGCTCAGAAAGGCCCTGCACTTAATTTAATGCTCTGTTGTTAATGTCCTGAAATTCTTAATAATTTGTACCATTCGCATTAACTAGGCCCTGTAAATTCTGTAGCCAGCCCTGACCCTGAGGGTAGGGACTTGCTTAGATTCCAGTTTTAGAGGGGCTGCAGGAGGCACCATGGGACTTGGAAATGACCTGGTTTCCTAGGGGGCCTAACAGCTCTGGGTTCCTGCACTCATGAGATTTCTGGGGGTGGGAAGAGAGTTAATAACATGGGGTTGGAGACAAAAAGGAGCCCCCCCTTCCTCCTCTGGCAGCTGATGGGGCAAGACCATGACGACAACTGCATCATTTCTGGGGGCCAAGTGCTTCATATTTATCATTGCATTCACCCCCCGTGAGAACTCTGTGAAGGGGGCATCCTTGTGTGGGATTTGAGGATCAGGCAGGTTAGGAATTTGCCAGAGGTCACGCAGCTAGTAACCATGTAGAGTGGCCATTTGGCTGGCTGAGCTCAGAGCTCTGGGTAAATTATTTAATGTCTCAGTTTCCTAGCCTGAAAAACGGAAACAATTAGAGCTAACTTGTAGCATCATTGGGAAGATTGAAGAAGGGATATGTAGTGCCTAGCACACAGCATGTAGTACATACTCACTAGATGATAACCTGTGATGGTGATGGTGGTGGTGAGGATGGTGGTGGTGATGGTGATGATGATGGTGATGATGATGATAATGGGTGATGATGGTGATAATGAGGATGATGGTGAGCACACCAGTTGTCATCTGAGATCCATCTCCAGCAGAGCTGGGCCAAGTCACAGAAACAACCCTCTACTTCACTGTCTATGAAGCTGGCCAAGGGATTGAATCGAAATACGGACACAGCCAGGAGGAAAAGGGTGTGTCTTCCTTAAAAAGCCTTGAATAAAGGAATTCTATTCAGCACCTTGAAAGACCAAGTTTAAGTGAGTGGCAGCCTGTCCAGGCAGGTCTGTGTACACAGTGACCTCTTAGAGGAGGGCGGTTTGCTGCTTGAAAGTTTGTCGCTTCTGCCTGTGGAGGAATCTCCTCAAGCAAAATCCGACATGTTTAGTTAGTTGCAATCTCTGCTTTGATGCTGCAGAAATAGGTTCCTAACTTTGCTCTGGGGATTATGAGAAGGGGCCTCCTGGGCACAGCTGGCTCATCCTTGCCTCCAGCGAGGAGAACTGAAGTTCAATCCCTAAAGAGAGTCTGCAGTCAATGTGTCAATGAGCACATGACTCTTTAATGAAGAGGTGGTTGGTGTCCAGCTGAGTGGCAGGAAGTCAACCAAGTCTACACTCTTGGTTGCATGTGACAGAAAGTGAACCTACATTGGGCTAAACAAACAAAAGAAGGTGACAAACATGGGTGGACCTGGAGGGCATTGTGCTAAGTGAAATAAGTCAGACAGAGAAAGACAAATACTGTATCCCACCTGTATGTGGAATCTAAAAAAACCAAACTCAGAGAAAAAGAAATCAGATTGGTAGTTGCCAGAGGTGAGGGGTTGGGGGTGGAGGAAATGGATGAAGGGGCTCAAAAGTACAAACTTCCAGTTATAAGATGAGTAAGTCCTGGGGATGTCATGGACAATAGGATGACTATAGTTAACACTGCTGGATAGTATATTTGAAAGTTGTCAAGAGAATAGATCCTAGATGTTCTCATCACAAGGAAAAAAAAATTTTTGTAACTATATGAGATGAGGGATATTAACTAAATTTATTGTGATAATCATTTTGCAATGTATACATGTATCAATTCATGTATACCTTATACAGTGTTGTATGTCAATTGTATCTCAAGAAAACTGGAAGAAAAAAAACATGAGTTCTGGATCCAGAGGGCTGCAGTTAAACTGGCTCAAGCCACTTATTAGTTGTGTTACCTTGGACTCTGTACCTTGGTTGCCTCATCTGTAAAATGGGAAAGCAATAGTATCTACTTCATGAGGCTGTGGTAGAGATTAAGTAAATTATTATATGAAAACTCTTAGAATCATCCTTGGGACACAGCAAAGACCATTAATGTTTACTGTTGTATCAGGTAGGAATTAGGGTCAACTGTAGCTACAGTTTATCTTCCACTTAATGCCAGAGATGGGCAGTTGCAAGCATTCAGTTATAGGCTCACTAGTGCCAGAGCTGCGGTGTCTGTTCTTCCTTTGGCCTTTTCCTTTAGTCCTAAGATGGCTGCTGGCGCTCCAACCATCATATCCATATTCCAATCAGGAAGCATGAGGATTGGGGAGTGGCAGAATTGCTACCTTCCAGCTAAGTCAGCTCCTTAAAGAAATCTCATGGGTGCCACACCTGCTGACTTCTGCTTATATAACAATGGCCACGCACTTTGCAAAGGAGGCATCAAAATGTGGTCCTTCAGCCAAACTCATCTCAGGCTTTGATGATTCAGGATTTCTGTTAGAGAGGAGGAAGGAGACTGGATAATGGGAAGGTATCCAGCAGTCTATGCTATGGGTTTTTTTTTTTTTTTTTGAAGCCATTATGCATTCGGGGTTTATTTTTTTTAATCTTTTAAAATTTTATCTAATTTTTTTTTTTGTTTGTGGGGAGGCAGTTAGGTTTGTTTGTTTGTTTGTTTAAATGCAGGTACTGGGAATTGAACCCAGGACCTCATTCAAGTGGTAAGCATGCACTCTACCACTGAGCTATACCCTCCCCGCTTCATACAGGGTTTAAAACAAGAGTCACACAATTACATGCCCATGGACAGGTGTCCTTAGAACCATGAGGTAGGCTTCAGAGGGAGAGAAGCAATAGAGAGTGGTGGGGATTGGGGCAAATTGGAGAATGTACATTCTGTCTCTGGGTGGCTACAGACCAGATATAGCTGATACTCGTCAGGTAAGAAAGAGATCAGTGTTACCAGAGCCTCAGATGTATCAAGAAAAGTGGATATACACAGTTTTTGATGAAATCTCCTGATTTTTAAATGATGACAAGAAAGTTTCAATTTTACCCACTCTGTCCCCTGCCCTCCAAAAATTACATGGGTCAAATAACACACAATTATGAGCTGGCTCTCAGTTGGGGCTGACTTTTTTTTTTAAGTCAAGTTTATCGAGGTATAATTTATAGACACAATAAAATCCACCCTTTTTAGGTGTATAGTCCTGTGAATTTTGCAACATACGCAGTTGTGTAACCATCATCATAACCAAGCTATACATTTCCATCACCCCTAAAAGTTTCCTTAGTTGCTTTTTAGTCAGCCACCACCCCTCCTCTCAGCCTGTGGCAACTAATGATCTTTTTCTGTCCCTGCAGTTTTGCTTCTCCAGCACGTCATAGAAATGGAATCACACAGGATATAGCTTTTGAGTCGACTTCTTTCACTTAGCACAACGCAGCTGAAATTCCTTCATGCTGCTGTGTGTAGCAGTAGTTTGTTCCTTTTTATTGCTGAATACTTAGTCACTGTATAGATATACCACAGTTTGTTTATCCTTTTACCTGTTGATGGACATTTGGCTTGCTTCCAGTTTTGGGTGATTATGAATTAAGCCATTATAAACATTCACATACAGGTTTATATGTAAACATATGTTTTTATTTATCTTGGGTAAATATGGAGGGTAAATCTAGAATGTTTTCCAAAGTGGTTGTACAGTTTTGCCTTCTGTCCAACGGTGTGACAGGCTCCTAGTTTCTCCACAACCTCGTCAGCACTTGGTATTGTCAGGTAGGTTATTTTGGGGAGAATGGGGATTGTTTTGTTTGTTTAGCCATTCTAGTGATATGGAGCATCTTTTCATTTGTTTATTTTGACATCCATATATGTTCTTTGGTGAGGTGTCAGTTCAAATTTTTAACAGAGTCATTTGTTTTTTATTGTTCTATTGTGAGAGTTATTTATATATTCTGGATACCAGTCCTTTAAAGAGGTATCTTCTGCAAACATAATGTCCCAGTCTGTGGCTTGTCCTTTCATTTATATGACAGTGCCTTATGAAGAACAGAAATTTTAAATTTTGATAAAAGTCTAATTTATCAAGTTTTTCATTTATGTTTTGTGTTTTTTTGTGTTCTATTTGAAAAAATCCTGGATATAATCCACAGTCACAAAGATTTTCTCCAATGTTTTCTACTAGAAGATTGATAGTTTCAGGTTTTACATTTAGACCTATGATCCACATTAACTCATTTTCTGTATATGGTGTGAGGCATGGGTTGAGGTTCATTCTTTGTATATGGATGTCCTGTTGTTCCAGTGTCATTTGTTGAATGATTTTCCCCACTTCACTGAATTGCCTTGACACTGTTGATGAAGATCAGTTGGCATTACGTGTGTGGATCTGTTTCTGGAGTCTATTCTGTTCCATTGGTCTGTGTGTTGTCCTTTCCCCGATACCACACTAGTGCCCAGACGCAAGTGCTGCATCAGTGTTCGCACTTACCATATTTTTATTAATGTTTTTAAAATAAACTTTATTTTAGAATAATTTTAGATTTACAAAACAGTTGCAAAGATAGTACAGAGGATTCCTCTATACCTTTCACCTAGCTTCTCCTAGTAGTAACATTTTACACAGCCATGGTACATTTGTCAAAACGAACATGTTAACAGTACTATTAACTAAACTTTTTGGATTTTACCAGTTTTTCTATTAATGTTCTTTCTTCCTGTTCTGGGATCCAACCCAGGATAACACATTGCCTTTAGCCATGGGTTTCCTAGAGGCATATTTTAATGTCTGTAAAGTCAAGATTCATCTTATAGTCAATACTGTCTTACAATGATAGCTGGGTGTATTTTTTTCTTAGTGTCACATAAAATTACAGAATGCCTTTGATTTAAAGAAATATGGTATTAGTAGTATTACTTGATCTCCTTAAGCCTCCCATCTGTAAAATGGGAACAGTTCTAGGGCTCACCTCATACAGATGTGGGAGGGTAAAATGAGAGACTCCGTGGAGAAGGTGCAGCACAGACCTATTCATTAATGGTTAACATTAAACCAAAATGTCAGCTCTATCCAGAGCCTGCTTGCTGGGGCTGTGAACACACCTTTCCTTACCTTTCCCTATATCGAAGAAAAGTTGCCTGGAGCACTGATTTCTTAGCAGCTTTTGTTCTCCCAGCAGGAGCCCACAGGAATAGCTACCAATTAAAATAACAAAGTTTCGTGTGACAACATTTGCAGAAAAAGCTGCAAACGTTTAATAAAAACTCAGTTGCTGGGAGAGCGAGACAGCTACGTCTACTGGAAGACCTGAAGCTGCATTTCCAGTTGGCCAGCGAAGTTGCTTTTGTTAGAACAAGGCCCTTCTTTGCTCAAGCTCCAGACCCTGGCCTTCTCCTTTGTGCCTCGGTTTCTCCAACTGTAAGGTAGGGATAATGTCACTCTCAGCCTTACAGAGTTGCCTTTGGAGGGTCACGTGAAATAATGTACTTAACAGCATGCCCAGCAGCTGGTAAACTCTTGGAATCCGTGAGATATTAAGATTCCTGAGCAACATGGCTTTCTTCTTCCCAGAAGGCAAAGGCTCCAGCAGAGGCTGTTCTGTCTCTCTCTCCTCCAGGTCCTTCCTCCTTCCTGCATGCACAGGTCCCTGCAAACAGGCCATGGGCCTCACACTGAAGGATTCATCCTGGTCCCTACTCAGTCCTGGCTGTCCCTCAGCCCCGCCCTTGGCCACAGTGATTGGGGTGGGCACTGGACAGAAGCTGGGCCAAAGTCTTACCCTTTCAAACTGGACTGGATAGAGAAAAACTAATTCTGTCCTCACAGAGCCTGGCTTTTCTGTGAATTGCACAAACCTGGGAATAAGTTACTCCTGGCCATCTATCTGGTCTCTGCTTGGCTGGGAGCTCCCTGAAGGCAGGGAGACCAATGTCCTATTTGCCCCTTTGTGTTCAGTACAGAGCTCAGTGCCTTCCCATGGTGAGTGGTTAATTTGATGAATAAATGAATGAATGAATGAACTGTGCTGCTTCCTACTCCTTTTTCCATTGATCCGAAATCATTGCTTTCTCTGAGAAGACTGCAGGCTTTTCTTTCCTTCTTATTTATTTTTAACTTTTTATTAATGGAATATTTAAAACCTGAGAATAGGATAAGAAACTCCCACACACGTGTTCTCAGCGTCAACAATTATCATTCTGATGTTCGTTTCCCATATTTCCTTCCCTCCTTCCTCAAGGGAGTGGGGACAGAGGTTCTGAAATATTTTAAAGCAAATCCCAGACATTGAATCATTCCACCCCAAAATATTTCTCTCTATATATCCTTAACAAGTAAGTATTTTTTCCAAGTAACCACAATTCCACCATCACACTTAACTAAAACAATAATAATTTCTCAATACCACATAATATCCAGTCCATATTCAAATTTCCCCAAGTCTCAAAAACTTTTTCAGTAGGTTTGCTCAGATCTTGCCAAGGTACATTCACGCTGAGGTTTATCAGGAGGAATTGTTTGGTGGCAAGTGACAGAAACCTAGTTCAAACCAGCTGAAACCAGAAAGGGGGATTTGTTAGCTCCTGTAAGGAAACTGAGAAATGAGAAGCCAAGGGGTGTCAGGGACACTGGATCTAGAAGCCCATCCAGTCAGGGCTGTCTTTCCTGCCCCTGCTTCTGTCCGTCTGTATTTTCTCAGACTGCTCCAGAGAAGCTGAGATCGTGACCTCCGGCAGTTGTCTGCCTACATGCTTTGTTTCGTGATAGAAATTAGTTTACCTCTAAGCAGGCCCATTGGAAACGGAAGAGTTTTGATTGGCTCAGCTTCTGTCGAGTGCCTACCCCTTCACCAATCATTGTGACCAAGGGGCGGGGCCTGGTGATTGACGGCACATACTACCACTTTCGGTCTGAGTGAGGGGAGGAGCCGTTACCCAGTGGGCGAAGCATTTCGTTTACCTAGAAAGTGAGAAGGGACCAGAGCAGACAGAATGACGGTATCTGCACGTGGGATGCTTCTAGAAACTCCTGATAAACAGGTTTCCATTGTCAAGAGGCCAGGAAAATACTGAACTGAAGGTAGTTAAGCTGCTCTCCCCGACCCTTCTTTTAGGAGGCTTAAGTGTGTGGTGAATCCCTAAGAGAATTTTGCAAACTTAGTTGATCTTGGACATCTTTTTATTTTCATGCATTCTCTAATGAAAGTGCTATCTCCCCTAAAGAGGCGAAAATTGGCTCGTGGGGGAGAGGGGAGAACAATTCTTTTTATGTATAAAGCCCAGATATTCATATAGTGCGTCAACAGATATGTATCTGTGGTATTAAGATTTCATGGGATGGCAGTGAAGAGGGGAAAATGTCCAAAAAGTCTCCTTAGTGGAGTGATGATGGGGAAAAAAATTGAGAAACACTGGTTTATTTTCCATCTGGGCCTCAATTTCCTCATCTGTAAAATTGGGATAATATAATGCCCAATTCAGAGAGTTTCTGCAATGACTAAAGGCACTTAGAAGCGTGCCTGGCATAGAGGAAGCACCATGCTTGTGCTGGTTATTTCCTGGTGGTTGTTGATGATGTTTTAGGAGCATTTTGTAAGTGTTGGGAAATTAAAGAGCGCAGGTCTGGCGTCAGATGTACTAGGTTTAAGAACTTCCTTTGAATTTCTGAATACTGCATTTTCTTATCTGCAGAAGGAATCAGAAAGGCTAGCTTTGTAGAGTCACTGTCAAGATTAAGGGGAATAACATAGGTGAA